AAGAAAATGTTTATCTCCCTGAGCTTGGCCTTCATAATTCCATTCCATCACAACACCAAAGTCTCCCCCACGACGTGGCTTAATTAGGGGGTCAATCAAGAGAGGAGGCCTCCCCCCCCCAGCAGATACTTCATCTGAACCGAGAAGATGGTGCTCAGAGGGTAGAGTCAGAAATGGTATCTGGTGTCCAGCCTGGTGTCCCTTGGCCGAAGCTTGTGTGGAAGGTCAAAAGGGGGATCAGGATGGGCAGCCCACAAACTTGGGGTGTTCCTCTCCTTCCCCCAATGACCTGAATGCCCTCCCCTCCTTCCCTTCCCTTTGGCAATGTCCCAAAATGAGGAATTTATTTATTTAATTAAGCCAATTAGGGACAAATTCCACCTTCTCAAGGTCAGGCTGGAGCCTCCCTTTGAAGCCCCTCGGCTGAACTTGGACCCCCTTTGAGCCCCGGAGATGAGATGGGGAGGAATCCCTGGTCCTTCACAGCCTTTTCCTTGCTGAAAGGGGTGGATTCCCCCTCCATCTGGGCCCTGCCCATCATCCACCCCCTGAAGGTTGGGCCTGCCTGGGGGAGATGAAAGGGAGGGGGAGGGGAAGCCCACCCTGTGTGTTTCCTGTAGACTCTCCAAAAAAACCTTATTTACACTGAAGGTTTTACTGTATATTTTAATTTTCTTCCCCATCTCTTTTTTTCACAGCACTCATGAATTAATCCTGCTATCCCTTCCTGCTCTCAGATGCAAAATCGCTGAAGATTTTCAGCACCTGATGAATTTCTGCCTTTTGTGCAACCCTTCAAGGGTGGAGCTTCAACACTGGCGAGAGGATGAGAATCACAGCCTGGACCTTCTCCTTCCGAGACCCACCAGCTTCCTTTTGGGACCTCTCTGTCTTTTGAGGGAGGGGGAAACGGGGAGGGGGTGGAGACCATCCCGTCTGCCCCCAGGAACTCCTGGCCTGCCTGTCCCTCCAGACCCCCCAATTTCTCCTGCTCAGCACAGACCCTCATTCAGACCAATGGCTGCAACCCACCCACCTCCAGCCACTTAATCGGAAATCCACCTGGCGCTTAGCCAAGCCTGGGGGCCACCAGATCCAGAGAGATCCAGAGCTCCACATGCACCAGCCACCCTGGGATCCCCATTTCCTGAGGAGCGATCTCAGGGATCAACTGGTCTCTGCCCACCAGAGCCCCAACCTCTTCCCCTTCCTTGGATCCCCCCTCGTTTCTCCGTCTCATCTCTCTTGGCTTTGAATGCGCAGGAGCTTCATCTTCTTGCTATTCTCCTCTGGGTAAATTCCCTGGGCTTTTATTTGCTATAAAACAATAAATTAGACTGTAGGAAAACCCTGGAATGATGTGAGTTGATGCTGTCCAAAAAGCCTGGTCTCTCTCAGCTCCATATTCCCTCCAGGTCAGATGCCATTTAATCAGCTCCCTCCACCCCTGAATTTCTGGTCCTCCGCAGAAGGGGAGAGGTTTCCCACACACATCTATAGGTCTTCTTGCCAGCATAGCTCCTCTTATCCTCTCATCCCACCTTGGGAGGAATCCCGGATTAGCTGTGCATTATGAGGCCATCTCAGATCACAGCTGGGTCCCTGTGCTGGGCCATTTTGTCCTGTTCAGAGAAAGTCCCTTTTAGAGGTCAAAGCAGGAGCTTAGAGTCTACCTCAGTGGACCCCGGTGAGTCTCCTCTTTCTGGGGATTCTCCCCTGAGTGGATCCTTTTGTGGGAAGGTAATCACCCCTCCTGAAGCTCCTCCCACACTGCAAGCATTTACATGGTTTTTCTTCCTGAGGGAGTGCTCTTATGGGAAAGAAGGTCATTGCTCCGCCTGAAGCTCTTCCCACCCTCCCTGCATTTATAGGTTCTCCGCCAGGTTGATTCTGTTGCATAGAGAAGAAATGAGAGCCCCTTGTAACTTTCTCCATCCTCTTTGCATGGATGTTCCCCTCAAATGTGGGTTCTGTGATCGTCAATCAAATTCTCTTTGAACATGTTCACCTTTCTTCCTAAAACTTGGTCCTTCTATCTCGGACAGAAATTTGGTGGGCTGGACCGTCAGGAATTTGGTCATGCTGAGAAGCTAAAGATTTCTTACTCCTGTCTTTGCATTGATTCCTGCGTGACTCTTTGGCTCCATCCAATCTGCAAACCTCTCTTCTCCATCTCCCTGAGAGTTTCAGACAGCAGAGAAGAGTCCAAGGGCGCGTGTCCTCGTGTGTGGATCCGAATCTCTCAAACTCGCCCGAGGATCCCACCTGTAATGATCTGCCACTCCCAACTTCAGTAACTCTCCTTGCAACCCGTAATGATTCAAAAGAAAGTTCATTTATTGGGAACAAGTGTACAGTTCTAACGCATTGCTAAGACTGAGCCCGCACCCGCCAAAAGTTGCATTTACCCTTTTTTCTCTTTCCCCCTTGCACCCCCTAACCTCCCAGTCTTGTCACACTCACTCGTTGGTATGACCTTGAGCATTCCTCAGTCCCTGATAACATCCCATCTGCCTCTAACGGTCATTTCTTCCATTCATCCTTCCAGATTCTTCCATCACCCCCTGCCATGTCTCTTAATGGCAGAACCGAAACAAGCCAGCAAGCTGGCAAATAATGTGGTTAATTGATTGCGAGGATTCTGACATGCCGCCCCTCTAGAAGGAAGGATTACTCCGGAGATGTGGAACCATCAGTCTGGAAAAGAAAAGGAATATATAT